TTGCACCAGCTTATACCCGATTGATTAATTTGTTTGGGTAATGGGTATAAAAAGAAGACATAAGCTTGATTGCGAATATTTGAGCGGATTGTCAGGGACTACACATAATTAACAGAGCAAAGAGTTGAGTTGCGGTAAGGAGGTGGCTGAAGGGTGCCGCAAGGGATTCCGGCACACACAAATACTCAAGTGAAAATGTGTCTGAAGCCTCAGACCAAAAGCAAAACAAAGCAGACAGAAGAAAGCAGACAGAAGCACGAAGAGAAGCTAAGGCAGCGTAATTTTTCATTATATGACCGAGGATGGAGCGCGGTCTGTGTTGTCTTGGCATGAAACGCAAACTGTTTACATTTGTTTCCCTTCAGCGGCGAGTGCCAGCGGCTGGGCGGGCAGCCAGCGGGCCACATGTTCATTATCTGCCGTCTGACAGGCAGACACGGCTGGGCAGGGGCAGTGGGGGCGGCAGCGTTGAGTAGTTAAGGTGTTATCGCCGTCAACAGAGCGAATCCGCATTGCGGCGCTTCAGGTACGGCTCATTAAATCATTCGGCAATCAGGGAGCAATGCTCAGCCCCTAAGCAACTTGGCGTTTTTATTGCGCCTCAATTTAGGGTCTGTCAATCACAGTTGAAGGCAAATTAAAATTTCAACTCCAGCCACCTTTCAACAGTTGTATCCCTTTTACCGAATGCCTGACACTCGAATTGCTAATCAAAACTGTGCTTATTAAACGAATATTAGTTGATGTTCTTACAGTTTGACAGCCCGAATGAATGAAAGCAATAAATTTGCATAAACATAAATCAGATTGAGAAATTCGACACTAACATAAGCGGAATAGTAAACGCTGGGGATTTCAGCATTTTACTTATAATGCTCCCAAATCGACATAATTCTGAATGAATGATTTATGTGTGCAGTTGGCAGCTTTATGGCACGCTGACTCCTCGACATATACCACTTTGCCATATAAATTTCCAATAATAATTCAAATGTAAAGCTCTATTTGCTACCCGTATACGGAAAATGCAAGCGTGTGCCACGTTCAGTTGCCAGTCTTGAATGAAACTGTGTCAATCCCTGTCTCGCTGTATGTGTGTGTGTGTGTGTGTGTGTCTTTGTGGGTGGGTGGATGTATATTGTCCGATTGTGAAATATTTCTGACTGATGCCCTTATCAGGCTTAGTCATACTAATCATAACTTTAGCTCCTTGTTGGGATGCTACAATGGTATTACAGCAAACGTTAGTCACTCGAGCTTTTGGCCACATGCAAATTGCGTTGTTAACGGCTATTGATTGTTGCCGTGGCTTGGCATGCATCTTAACAAAATCTTAGGGGATCAACTACACGTATTTAGAAGCTCTTTGGTGTGTGGGGATCTTAGACCTAATCACGACTCGGTTGCTAATTAGTAGTTGTTTCACACATTTATCAAGTTGTAACTTAGGCATACGATTAAGTATAAACACTGTCACGACTGACGGCTTGTTTGTGGTAGATTGCTTAGGATACTAGAATACGCTGATAATACTTACAGGCTCTGCATTTGCTTTGGGATTGGGGTAGTCGTGCTTTGGGCTGGGAGTGTTACGCATGGATAGATGCGTGTAGGAACCCAATTGCTGACCAGCTTAGACAAGCTCCGTTTCCATTTGTGCGGCCTCCACTGTCTCCACGATGGTCGTTGTGGCCGCCGCGACCGAATCTCATGGAACGTACCGTGTGGTCAGAACACCATCATCGTCGTCGTCCACATTCAAGCCGCTGCCAGTGCAGCAGCCACTGCACAGAAGCCAGCTGGTTGCGTTGCCCACGCGTTTTGGTCAAATCGCAGACACCTGCTCCAGCTCGGCACTGGAGCGGCCCGAGTTCATGACCACAACATTCTTGGCGGCATAGTCGGTGATGAATCGATCGCTATTGCGCGGATGTATGTTGCCCACGTCCTGGGCGCAGCACCACGGATTGCGCATGGTCAGGATGCGCTTGAACGCGTCCCTGAACTCCTTGTTGAAAATTGAGTAGATGATCGGATTGAAAGCGGAGTTCGAGTAGCCCAGCCAGGTGAGTATCTTGAATGTCTGGCCGCCGATGCAGGTCTTGCAGAAGGCAGCCGTGATATTCACGCAAAAGAAGGGCACCCAGCATATGAGGAACACGCCCATTATGACGCCCACGGTGACGGCTGCCTTGTGATCGGACACGTGATAGGGCGAGCTGTGGTGCAGGTTGCGCACCTTGAACTTCTTCGGCTGGTTCTTGGGCCGACGTATGCTCTTGTATCGTTGCTTCTCGGCCACCTCGCCGGGTCTTGTTACCGCCTTAATTGACTTCACGTGTTTCTGGGCATAGCAGTAAAGCCTGCGGAGTGGAGAGTACATGAATTCAGGTAATTAATCGATCTTGTATAAACTTTGATTACAGTTAATCAATTCAAGATTTTTAGAATATGCCTAAAGCCAATTTTCTCTTTTATTAATAGCCTTGGCCCTGATTTGACGGCGATTATAGGATATGCGCGCTCTGCCTAATCTACTGTAATTTGATAATAGGTATAGCAGCTCGGCCCTCAAGCTACGTGTGCCTAACGAACCTATCGAAAATGAAATGTTATCCGCCCTGTGCCATTTCAATGGAAGGACATTTGATTAGTGTCTATCTAGTTGTTGACCTGAGTGTTTCTGTCTGCCGCCTATTGTTATAAGTGATATGATAATTATTTACTTTTGCAGCCCTGCCAATTATCAGCCTGCCCCAGGGAACTCCCACTGGGCTCTAGCGGCTCGCAATCGACAGCTGTCTGCCGGGTCACACAGTGCGTATACTCAATACGCAATGTAACGGCGTGTGCGGCCATACATGGCGGCTCATTTACCGAGCATACGGTCCGGATGGAAACATGAAAAGGATAAGATGGCTACGCACAAATTATGGCGATAAAAGTCTATTTACTCTGTAATTCAAACGAAATTTGATAGAACATTCCACTGCCAGCCACTAGATACGTTAGTGGATGCCCGGAGCCTCAGCTCGATGGGCGAACAGCTTGTCTCCATTTGTTGCCTAGTTGCCCATTGGCCGCAAATCTCGTTAAGCTAAAATGGCAACGTGCCCAACGCCGTCAGCTATTTTCCTGATGAGCGGCCCTATCGCAGGGCTGTCTGTGATGATGATGATGTTGTTGTTGGCATCCTGTTGCCGCCCCCATTGCTGCCCATTGTCTAGCCCTTTTCGCACACGCCCCCTGCCCGCCTTTGGCTTAGCTCAGGGATTACTTAGCTGGACACTAATGCGTGTGCTTATTTGTTTGCTTTATTTGCTTGTCGTCCCACTCCCAGCACTCCCAGCACTC